TGTTTTCCAAAGCCTTCTAGTTGCGAGTATGTCCAGTTTAACAATTTGTCGCTTATCTTAATGCTGTCAAATCGCGAACGCCATGTTGTTTTCATAGCCGTCTTAATATTATAATACTGCAAATAATTAAAAATATTTATCGTTATTTTGACTTTATTTTTGACTTTAGCGGAAAAGTCATTATGAACTTTTTTGTTTAAAATTTGATGCTTTAACAGAAAAAATATAATATACAGGGGTTTCCATTTAAAAAAATGTTATTTTACTGAAAAAAATCAAAATAACGACTCTCAATTGTTTTTTTTTTATTTCTCATTTTTACCAGCGTTAAAAATGCTACTAGTTTGCTAATTCAAACAACTTTGTATTTTCACTAATAACAAAGTTACTAATGGTGGACACTTAATTTGGATAACCCTGTATATATATATAGATATATATATCAGGGTGACAGGTAAATAGGTGTAAAACATTTTAGGAGGTGATGGTACAGCCCCTTTGCTATCGAAATTAGTATATAATACCACACCCTATATTGAAAGGTTGAAAAGTTATTGAAGATTTAAGGTTTTTTAAAAACAATCCATATTTCAGAGTAAAAAAGTCGAGAGAGAAAAAAGTTGGCGATTAAACATTTGTTTTTTGTGGTTTTGGGTTATTATTTCAATAATTAACTATTATAAATTAAAAAAGATTCGAAAACAATACCAAACAACGTATTTATTTTCATTCAAAAATATTTAACTAAGAAAAACAAATAACGTTTTACAGTAAGTAACGTGTTTTACAAAAAAATCAGTATACAAAAAAACGTACAAACAATTTAAATAATATCCTTGTTTCATAAGGAATCTAAATTGGTATGATAAGTGCACAAAAACTGTGTGAAACTAAACATAATGTAAAAAAAGGGAGTAAATTTACCAATGGCTTGTCTCCTTTTTCACAACTCTCTTATTGATAAGAAAGTGTTTTTGTGAAAATAATGTAACTGTAAGCTATGGGATAGTTATTATTTTAAACTACGGTTAAGTTACACGATTAGATTATTTACACAGTTGTAATTGTACTACAGAATAATAAAAACTGACTAAAAGTTACTACAATTGGTAAGTAAAATACAATAATGAAATGAAGGTAAAATTCATTGCAATTGTTGTTCGAACTGACGCCCGCCGTTTCTTATGCAAGCCCGTAGTCTTCTTCTCATGTTGGTACGCGTGATGCGGCCAGTTAGTTGTCCTCTGATAGTGTCAGCAGCAGCAATAATTCTTTCTTTCAACTGTGCAAGAGTGTCTATGGGCTCAGCGTACACCAGTGGCTTTACGTGCCGCCATAAGTAATAGTCACACGGTGTTAAATCTGGGCTCCTTGCTGGCCACGGTGTCGGTCCACCTCGGCCAATCCAGCGACAAGGATATTTCTCGTCCAGCCACTGTCTAACACCCAGACGGAAATGCGCGGGACAGAGTTCGGATCTCAAAAAGTTTTCATAGGATTCGCCATTCAGGTTGTCAGGAAAAAAAACTGGTCCAATTAGATACGTATGAATGATTCCCATCCACACGTTTGCCGAAAATCTTCTTTGATGGGCTCTTGGCTTTGCCATGTGGAGATTTGCCTCTCGTGGGGCCCAATAATGTAAGTTGTGATAATTTGTTGTCCCTCTCTGTCAAACTTAGACTCGTCGGTCCACAATATTTCAGTTAAATAGTCGTTTTCTTCTTGATCCCGATGAAGCATGTATCGACAAAAATCAATTCTTCTTGCGGGATCTCCTTCTTCTAATACTTGAACCGGTGTGTAATGGAAAGGGTAAAGGCTCGCCGAATGCAAAACGAAACAAACTTTCCACTGAGTTAAACCAAGCTGCTTTGCTATAACTCGTGTAGACGTCGTCGGGTCTCTGCCGTAGCATTCCAGTATTGCCTCTCGATCTTCGTCGTCAAACAACCGAGGTCTACCAGCATCATGACGTGTCTCATGAACCTGTCCACTTTCCTTGACGCGTTGGTACACAGAAGCAAATACTCGATGACTCGGTATTCGCCGATTCGGAAAACGGTTTTCGTATTCTCGCCTGGCTACAACGGAATTTCCATCACTTAAACCATAACAAAACAGAATATCAGCGTATTCTTCGTTACGTAACTCGCCATTATTAAAAGTGATCAAAAAAGTAAAAGTACGTCCTACCGCCTTAAAGGTTGATATTCTACTAACTAACCTAAGCGTTAGTTCCCTTTCCTTGATCCGTCAGCTGTGTCAATTCATATACTAAGTGACATTTAAATCCGAACACCCAGTTTAAATGGTTTTATTTTAATAAAATTTTGTATAAGTACTTAATGAAGCATAATAAGTAAATGATAAAAATTTCAAAATGATTGCACTGCTTTAAAGCCCTTTGACCTTTAATAATGTGTGGATGCACCCTGATGTGCTACGCATTCTCCAACGCGCCTAGGCATGCTTCTGATCAGGTGGTCAATGTCCTCCTGTGGTATCTCATTCCAGGCAACCACCAACTCCTCTCGAAGTGCTTCTAGAGTCTGAGGAGGACGTTGCAAAGTGAGCAATCTCCTACCCATCATATCCCACACGTGCTCAATTGGGGATAAGTCGGGAGATCTTGGTGGCCATGGTAACAATGTGACCTCATTATGTTGAAAGAAGTCTATTGTGACTCTTGCAACATGTGGTCGGGTATTATCTTGTTGGAAAGTTGGATCTGCCAGGGTGTCAAGATAGGGTAAAAGATGCGGTTCTAGAACTTCGTGGATATAACGCTGCGCGTTCATGTTACCTCTGATGAAGATTCAAGGTGATGAACATGTCTTTCAACAAAAAACTATGGATTCCTTGTTTCACCACGTCGCCTTCTAACCCTGGCACGACCATCGTGCATGCCTAAACAAAATCGAGACTCGTCACTACTACTAGACAATACTGTTCCATTCCTGATCCCAAAGTGACCGTTGCCTGCACCACTCAAGGCGATTACGTCGGTGTTCTCGAGTTAAAGGGAGGAGCCAGTGTGGCCGGTATGAAAACAAGCCAAAACTTCTCATTCGTCGGTAAACACTTCGCATGCCAATAGGTCTTCCGTGTTCTGCAAACCATTCATTTGCAATGGACCTGGTAGTGGAGAAACGGTCCCTTAAGGCCAGTAATCTTCACGGTCTGTTGTTCCTCGGCGGCGTCCAGTGCCCCTTGCTCTTTGTGTACGGCCTTCTCGAAGCCATGCCTGACAACACCTAACCACAGTCTCTACACTTCTTCGCACTCTAACTGCAATTGCCCGAAAAGAAAGTCCAGCTTCCCGAAGTCCCACTATACGGCCCCTATCAAACTCACTAAGTTGACAAAATCGTACAGGTCTCCGTACTCTAGGCATCGTAACCGATCGTAAAGGATGTCAAGAACCAAAATCCGCTAAGGTTGATTCTTTACTGCGGCTGAAATATTCATTTTTAGAGCGTTAGTGAATTAAAAAAAGCAGTATAAAAACCGGAATGTCCAACTGATAAGGCTGAAAATTTTTTCACTTGTTATTTACAGTAAGATAAATACATTCACCAACTTTTATTAAAATAAAACCATTTAAACTGGTGTTCGGATTTATATGTCACTTAGTATAACAAACGCAGAGTTTGCTTCCGAGGAACGAAGACAGATTCCGAATACTTAAACCGGAATAACGGCACAGGGCACAAAAAATAACAAAAAGGGTCGAACCATGAAAGGCTCGGTTTACCTGCTCAGTACAATGAAATGCGCTTAGCGGTCTTTTCTAGCAAAGTAATATTGTTTTGTTAAATGGTTTACTTACTGATATGTTATCATACCATTTTAGAAACCTAATGAAACGAGGAAGTTTTTGCAGATATTTGTACATTTTCTTTATTATGATTTTTTTGAAAAAAAAAAGATTTCTTAATGTGAAAGTTGAAAATAAAAATTTTCATTTAACATTTAAATGAAAATAAACACGTTTTCAGTAGTGTTTTCATATGTTTTTTTAATTTATGAGAATTATTTATTTAAATAATAACCTGAAACCACCAAAAAAAGAATGTTTAATCACCAACTATTTTTTTATCTCAACTATTTTACTCTGTAATCTGGGTTGTTTTTTTAAAAAAATTAAATCTTCCATAACTTTTTAACCCTTGAATATAGGGTATGGTATTATATACTAATTTTGATAGCAAAGGAGCTGTACTATCACCTCCTAAAATGTTTTAGGTACACCTATTTACCTGTCACCCTGTATATATATATATATATATTATAGATATATATATATAAAGGCATATTTTGGTACAAATCTTGAAGTAGGCCAACTGAAGTGAGAAGGGGCTCGTAGTACTTTCGGTTTGTAGTGATGAGACTTTAAATAAAGGGTGGAATATTTTCGCGATTTTGAGAAACAAAGATCAGCTGTATATGTCTGTAAATTTAGGAGAGGAAGAACAAAAAAATGCCTTATATGCCCATGTTAAAATATTATCAATATAATTCAATCTTTGCTAACTCTGATTTTCGCTTGACTTATTTATTTCCAGTATTATTCGTCATCATTTCAATAAACCAAAAAACACCATATCAGAACTACATTCAAAGGTTTATTAATGCATTCCTCACCTTCATAAAAAGTCTCCCACAGTGCGCCATCTTAAAATATCATATACAGGGTGTCCTGACAAGCGAACAGAATCTCGATAGAGTGCTCATGTTTGTTTTGACGTGGAGTAAGTGACGTTTGAATAGACAATAGTACCCTCTACAAGGGTTCAAAAATACAACCTAACCTTATTCCTTGACCTCAGAAAACTCCGATTTCTAAATTTCATGTTGATATCCCAAAAACCAATTTTGAAAATTAAAATTCAACACCCTGTATCCCACTAGCGAGCGATATTTTACCGAGGCATATTTTTTCACGAGCTTAATCTAACGCATCCATTCCGGACCGGCATGAATTCCATGTTTTGTAGGAGGCAACCAAAGTGCAAAAGTCTACTTAAGGTGGATGAAGAGTTGCAGCAGGCAGAGCAAACAGGTGAGCAAGTTATGAAGTGCCGTCGAAAACCAACAACTATGAGGGTTGATCCAGGCGAAGACATTCGACTTTTACAAGAGGTATGTATAGGTACATGATGGACAACTCGAAGCCGACACGATCCAACAAAACATTTAAGAAAGGTCTTTGCTATCTACATAAGCACTTTTATCATATTTCAACATGCCGAATCTGCGCTTCAATTTTCTCGACGTCATACTGAATTATTTACCTTTTCAGCTTGCTTACTTGGAGCACCGAACTGATATTTTAGATTGTAAGCTGAAGAAACAACAGGAAGAAGCGGATAGGAGAAAAATTGCAAAAGAAAACGGTTAGTATTGCAACAATTCAATTCATTGAAACCATTTAGTCCTATATATCATGAAATGTCTTGGCAGAATGTGGTAATTGTGTCAAATTCGTCAGAATATACAGGGTGGACAACATATAACTGATGATTTAAATTGCGCGCCATTATCAGTAGGTGGCGCCATGGTAGTTGCTCAAAGCACATGTGTCCAATTCATCATGGAGCGCTAAACGATCCCACAACGAGTCCGTATTGTTGAAACGTTTTACTTAAATAATGAGTCGATTGTTTCAAGGATTCGAAAGCTATGACAAGATATCGGTCGAAATAATGTGCCCAGTGTTAATAACATTCGTCAGTTGGTGCATAAATTTGAACAAACGCCAAAGTGTTCGAGCGATTACTCTGCGCCTTGAGATGTTTACCAGACATCGTTCTCAAGATCTGGGTATTTTTCGCACCTAGCTATACACTATTTCATGAAAGGACTTGCATTTGCGGCCATATAAAATTCAGTTAACTCAAGAGCTACAGCCTAGTGACCATGAAAGTCGCCGACAATATTGCAGCTTAATACCCAAAATAACGATAATGAGCAATGAAGCCCACTTCGATATGAACGGATTTGTTAATAAATAGAATTGTCGTATCTGGGCATTAGACAGCCCTCGTGTCATCCATCAACGACCACTATATCCTCGTCGAGTCACAGTTTGGTGCGGTGTTTGGAATGAGCAGGTGTCATTGGACCTTACTTCTTTGAAGACGCTGCAGGTAATTCTTTTACTGTCGCTGGCGAGCGCTACCGTTATATGGTGCAAAACTTTCTCAACAATTTAACCTGCAAAACATGTGGTTCCAGTAGGATGGAGCAACTTGTCACACAGCTAGGGGAACAATGAATCTTCTGGGAACAATATTTCGGGGACGTTTAATTTCTCGATTTGGTGATGTCAACTGGCCACCACTTTTCTTTATGGGGATTTTTGAAAACTTGGGTTTATGTCAAGAAATCAAATACTGTAGAGCAGCTGAAGAACAATAATACGGAAGCGGTTGAATATATTCCTCCCGAAACCTACCAAGAAGTGGTGGAGTGTAATCAAGAGGGCTTAGGCTTCTTGAGGTGGACATTTGTCTGATATTATTTTTCATACATAATTTCTAAGTTTCAATAAAAGATTAAGATGAAAAAAATATTCAAGATACAAATCAGTTACATAAAGGCCACCCTGTATGTACAACTTCGTCTTGCCATTGCTTCAAAATTCTTCTGCTTGTACTCCTTTGTTGTTAGCAATTACTATACGAGTGAGATAATTTTTATTATTTATTTGATAAACTTATTAAAGTGAAACCATGTCTAACAAATTTGTATCCAACAAGGTAAACTTCATCCGCGTTATCCATACTGGGATTTATTTGACGTTCGAGTAGAATTTCTCACATTTATCTCTCATTCATCACTCTATGAAATCTGCACCTAGTTAATGATCCATTCACAAGATTTTTGATTATGCATGAGGGGGCAGGGGATTTAAAAAATGAGTAGCTCAGGAGCACGGCACTCTAGAGCACTGGAACGGTATTGACAGGTGGTGGGTACCCTGAGTAACTTAAATGAGGCACTGGTAAGCGGCTCTCGAATTTCGAGGCTCTTCCACCTTATCATACGGCGTAAATGGACTCTATTAAACTTGCAATCGATAATTTAGGTCTTTCAGTTTCGTGTCAATGCTGCTTCGCGGACGACCTATTCCCGGAAGAAGTGTATTCGTGTACCAACGATTGCTGTTTTTGTGCGGAATGCATCAGAAAGAGCTGCGAATTGAAACTTGGTGAGGGAGACATTCAGTTTCCGTGTTTGGCGGACTGTGGGGCGCAATTTGCGTGGAAAACGCTGCAGGTAAACGAAAACCGCCTCAGCACAAATGGTGTCAAGTAATTTGTCTCTGCACCTCCCAGGCAATTCACCAACTAGATCATGTTAGGCTTATTTCTTAGTCTAACACGATATGAAAATTATTGAACCAAAGCAATATTGCACGTGGGATATAGAGTCAACCTACTTGACACAGATTTCTGGCAGAATGTACATAGGACTTATTTTTCTTTCTACTGAGCGTTACTTAGTGATAGGCCTCAATCTTAATGATGAAGTCAGGGCGCATTCCTATTTAAGTAGATAAGTGTCGAACTTTTATAAAAATGTTGTTTTTTTACATCTCAAAGATCCTTGAGCCAATTTTGTTGAATGTTGGCGGTGTTGTTTATTGTAACAAGATGCTAAGTTAGCACTAACTAGAAGATAATTATGAATCTCAGTACAGAACTCGATCTTCGGTTAAATCTATTCGAAAGACTGAAATGGAATTGAAACTTGACTAGGAATGTTCGCCTATATAAAGATTATTTCAGAATGAATTTTTGTTACCACATCCACCATATTTGTAATACCGACATTCAATTTTGTTTTATACGCAAATATATGAGAAATAAAAGTGACTACTATAATCAACAGGTGCGTAATATTGCGGGATAATAATAATCTATTATTCAAATTGTACAATGGCATAATAGAAATTGTATAGTCACTACAAAATGAAATGTTCCGCCACTATCACCGTTACAACTATACTGACTTCGAAGTTGAGTCATTTATTTTAACAGTGAGTAGATCTGATCAGAAGAAATGTTTTTTCCTTTACCATTTTTCTGGTAAAATTAAAGTAACAAAGTTATAGCCCTTTGGAAGTTTGATTACCGCCCTGTCTCAATAATAATATTATGTGCTCGTGTTTGGCAACAACGGATATAATCCGCCTTATCGGTTCATCGCATCGGAAACAAAAAAGCGAAAGAATTTGGAACGATGTTTTTACAATTATTTTATTCAGTTGTATACAGTCAGTGTCAGTCGGTAACGCGTGAGTGAATAGTGGTGTCTGTTGCGTGGCTCAAACGAAATCAAAAATGGCACATGTTTACGAAAATGCTGAACTTGTGGACATGATTCTTATTTACGCGGCATCACGGATTTATGCGGATCAGTTTCCCAATCGAGTGCAACCAACCCCTCGTGCCTTTGTTAATGTAGTACAAAGGGCTCGTGAATCAGGTGACTTAAGACCTCACAGGGGAGGGCATGCCGGTGCTCCAAGACCGCACATTTTTTTTTTAATTTTTCTTTTATTTTTACACACATTTATCTTCCTTCTGCAATCATTATCTGAAAATTAATGACTCAACTTCAAAGTATAGTTACTGTACTAGAAATTGCTTAATGGTATTTTCAAATTTATGGAAACTGTTTTTGTTTTTGATTTGGTAGATTATTGAAAAATTGTAAACACATGTAAATAGGGCTTTTTTATGTGGAGGATAATCTATGTATTGAATAATTAACATTGACTATATCATAAACAGTATGCACCTCAAGCTCAAATAAATTTTTATTTTTGAAAAAACCTAAGACACTCATACACATAGATGACATACATAGTCATGATTTTTTCAGTTTTAAACACTCGCCTACTAGTTTCATTGAAATTTAGTTCTGCTATTTTTTTTTAATAAACCTATTGCGCATAGTACAATATTTTCATACTCTAATTACTTAGATATCTTGATGTTACCCAAAACCATAGCAAATGGAATTAAGCCTCAGTTCGAATACATAAAAATCAAAAGGTGGAATACAAAACTACAGATTTTTTTATTCTCTGACTATTTTCCCTCTTTTACTCGTATTCAGCTCCTCTTTCTGATTTCTTGTCTAGGCGGCGCTTCCACCTACACTATTGTCGAAACTATCACAGCGTTACACGGAATCTGAGATTCGGGCGGCAGGACTTAAAGTTGACAGCTGTCCATTCTGTAATTTCCCCAACACCATCGATGAGGAATATACGTTGTTTCAGTGTTTAAACCCCAAATGCTTGAAGGTAAGCACCAGATACTGATACTGCCTTTTTAACGAGCATCCATTACGGTAGCATCTGTTTATCTAGTAATATTAAAAAATTCCCCACATTGATAAGTGACACTCAATTGCGACGCATCCGTCAACGCCAGGTAGACAGTGCCGTATTTTGTTGTTTCTTGTACGATATTTAGAAAAGTCGCATGGCATACAAAAATCGCTTCTAGCAAAATTGCTGCTAATGATTATGACTACATTTCAAGTCAGGTAGGAATAAAATAATATAAACGCTTTTTGACTTTGTTAATCATATCTACTTGAAGCATAGTATGCATTTAAATGAGACTGAAACAGCAATACAAATAATTCAAAATTTATGATCGAATTAATAGACCTTCGATTCACTGAAATAGGTCTAAAAATTACTGAAATAATAAGCTAGAAATTAGAAAAGTGAAATATATCTTAGATGTAGTATAATAATTTTCATACATTTTATTGTCAACATTTCCAGTCCTACAAAACATAACTTTTGACGGTAACGATATATTTAAACGAAATTTTGACATTGTAGAAAGCAGTTGGGCCGTTGGGACCACATATGGTGACATCAAAGTAAAATAACCAAATCGTTTATAACGATTATCTCTAAAGTACAGCTCTATTCATGATCATAAGAAAAAGTAAAGTTGTGACTGGATAACAAGAGACAAAACGTCATATTGAAATTCTAATTGTGCTATCTTGTAGAGGAGAAAAAATGCCAGTGTTAATGTGGAACTTATTTTAAAATCCCGCTACAAGTAAAGCCAGGTAAAAATTAAAACTATTTTGAGAAAATTTGATTATTTACATCTCTCTCTCCGGAAATACTTTGAATTGCGAAACTTTCTAAGCGGGATTTTGTTAATTACCTAAATACGGAACTTTGCCCCTATTTAAGCGACTTTGGTAATTTTAACACAAGGGTAAGCTTGATCCAATTGAACCTTTTCTGGGGAAAATATCGCGCAACGGTTTTTGCTGCAATCTGTACGTAAAGCATACGAAGTTGATTAATGGTGATCTGCTTTTGTATTATAAATAATCAGTGCCAATTATCGTTAATTTTTTCTACAGTGTGTCACCGCAAATTTTACACATCGCACGTATCACAGGAAACGTATATGGCGACACTGGCTAATAGTGAGCTGTGTGTCTCGACCCCCACCCCATACGGACATTGAGCTGTTTTTTGTTAGTGGTAACTAACTGTATTTTACATTTCACAGGAGACATGCAGGTTATGCAAAGAGCTCAACCACCTTCCGTTGCGATGCGATGAGGTTGAGAAGGACGAAGATGTCAAGGCACGCGTCCACGTTGAAAATAAGATGACCGAAGCAATATTGAGGTATGAAATTACTAAATCCGTTGGTGCATTAAGACAATATTACACAACCTGCGCCATACAACATAAACGCTACAAATTGTACAATTATTGAAAAAAAAAGTCGTTCTTCATCTGTAATTATTTCGTAACACAACTTCCCTTTTGGTAACCTGTGCGGCACCAGTAATTACGAAAGAGATTTTTATATGTTGTGTTAATGAATTGAGAACGACGTAATGAACCCTATTTAAAATCTCATCCTGCTAGTTTCATTAGGGTGGTTTGATAAATGTTCTCTATATTTCTCAATATTTAAAAACAACTGAGAAATATACTAAGTGACATATAAATCCGAACACCCAGTTTAAATGGTTTTATTTTAATAAAATTTTGTATAAGTACTTAATGAAGCATAATAAGTAAATGATAAAAATTTCAAAATGATTGCACTGGTTTAAAGCCCTTTGACCTTTAATAATGTGTGGATGCACCCTGATGTGCTACGCATTCTCCAACGCGCCTAGGCATGCTTCTGATCAGGTGGTCAATGTCCTCCTGTGGTATCTCATTCCAGGCAACCACCAACTCCTCTCGAAGTGCTTCTAGAGTCTGAGGAGGACGTTGCAAATTGAGCAATCTCCTACCCATCATATCCCACACGTGCTCAATTGGGGATAAGTCGGGAGATCTTGGTGGCCATGGCAACAATGTGACATCATTATGTTGAAAGAAGTCTATTGTGACTCTTGCAACATATGGTCGGGCATTATCTTGTTGGAAAGTTGGATCTGCCAGGGTGTAAAGATAGGGTAAAAGATGGGGTTCTAGAACTTCGTGGATATAACGCTGCGCGTTCATGTTACCTCTGATGAAGACTAAAGGTGACCTGGAACCATAAGCTATAGCACCCCAAACCATAACTCCAACAGTGTGATGAACATGTCTTTCAACAAAAAACTGTGGATCCCTCCTTTCACCACGTCGCCTTCTAACCCTGGCACGACCATCGTGCATGCCTAAACAAAATCGAGACTCGTCACTAAAGACAATACTGTTCCATTCCTGATCCCAGAGTGACCGTTGACTGCACCACTCAAGGCGATTACGTCGGTGTTCTCGATTAAAAGAGGACCCAGTGTGGCCGGTATGAAAACAAGCCAAAACTTCTCATTCGTCGGTAAACACTTCGCATGTCAGTAGGTCTTCCGTGTTCTGCAAACCATTCATTTGCAATGGACCTGGTAGTGGAGAAACGGTCCCTTAAGGCCAATAATCTTAGGCGGCGATGTTCATGGTCTGTTGTTCTACCGCGGCGTCCAGCGCCCCTTGCTCTTTTGCGTACGGCCTTCTCGAAGCCATGCCTGACAACACCTAACCACAGTGTCTACACTTCTTTGCACTCTAACTGCAATTGCCCGAAAAGAAGGTCCAGCTTCCCGAAGTCCCACTATACGGCCCCTATCAAACTCACTAAGTTGACGAAATCGTACAGGTCTCCGTACTCTAGGCATCGTAACCGATCGTAAAGGATGTCAAGAACCAAAATCCGCCAACGTTGATTCTTTACCGCGGCTGAAATATTCATTTTTAGAGCGTTAGTGAATTAAAAAAAAAGCAGTATAAAAACCGGAATGTTCAACTGATAAGGCTGAAAATTTTTTCACTTGTTATTTACAGTAAGATAAATACATTCACCAACTTTTATTAAAATCAAACCATTTAAACTGGGTGTTCGGATTTATATGTCACTTAGTATATTTAAAATCAATTGTAGTTTGTCATGAGTATTTCAGTAATCGGGAAATTATGGGAACAGGGCTTTTATCTCTACCAGAATAAAAACAAAACCAATAGGCATACGTCTCAGACAAATCTAAGTACTTTATATTGCATTCATTAGAGTTGCCAGTTGTTTCAAAGTATTTATAAAATTAGTATGAAACGTTATAACCGTGGATTTACGTACAGGTTAAAGTAAATGACACTACATGCTTGGTGCGCGATAACAGGGCCACCTAGCCGATGTGCCTAATACGAGCAATATAAAAATAAACGATTATTATTGAAAATGACGGACATTTAGCCGATTTGTCCGGAAACATTTTAATTCCAAACTTCCAATTTTTTTTCTTTGTCAGTCCTCAATTTACCTACCCCACATGATAGATTTACCCACAGAGGCTACGCGTATCTTCCATTTTATTCTCTACACTTGAATATTTCGAAAACGAGGCACTCTGAAGAAACAGGTTTGTGGTTTGTGAGGATCACCCCCCAAGGTGACCTCAATCATGACCATGACTTTAACCTTCAAGATCGAGTCAAAATTTTCGAAGCAAACCACTCATTTTTATTCCAAGATTGAAAAAGGGTCATGTCAATCTTAAATATTATTCGTAAACCAACCCGTTGATTTTTTTGACAAAATTGCAGTGAGCGAAAAGAAGCCGGTGTAAAAAGGAGAAGTTAGGGACCTCGGTTGGCCGCGTGGGTCAGAGTGTCGTGCTACTGACCTTGAAATGACCTTGAAGTCGTGGTGAAGGTCATTGTGAGCGTTGCTGTCATTTTTCTTCTTGGAAGCTGAGTTAGTACAAAAAAATTCATATGCATGCCTCATATAAAAAGGCTATTCAATTGATCTTGCAAATTATATATATCAGCGATATGCACCTCATGATTTATTCGTTAAAAATTTCGTCCAACAATCGCTTAATTCCCAATCTAGGTATGTAATGTACGACGTATTCTGGATATTCTTGGCCGTATCAGCTAGCAGTTATGATACCTATTCTTCTATGCCTTACAGAACATGCCACAGATGTCAGAGAAAGTTTGTCAAGGAGGAGGACGGCTGCAACAAGATAACGTGCATATGTGGTGCGGTGTCATGTTATGTCTGCAATAAGCCAGTGACAGGGTATGATCACTTCAATGGACTTGGAGGCAGTCAGTATGAGAAGTAAGTAATTAAGAAAGTTTATCCCTATTTTCTGCCCCTAACACCATTGCAATAAAGTAACATTCGAATTTCACTATTTACATATACGTAATCCCCATTCGTAGTTCATTTACGCCCAGACAAAACACAACATGCCGAAAAGCGAGATTGTACAGGTCCGTATTTTTCTCAATGTTCTTGGAATAATCTAACAAAATAAATGATTATTTTTATAGAAACAAGTGCACATACTTTTTACAATTATATATTCGATGGAAGTACTTGAATCATCGGCCGAACGGTTAATATTAATTATTACAGGTTCAGTTTGAATATCGATCATATTATTGTCCAGATTCCACATCCTTGTTCCGATTGCCTCTTGAACGTGACGGATGGAATCTCCAATGGTTTGCCGTCACTCTATTGACAGCTTCATAATACGAATTTTTCACGTCAGAAAATTTGAATGCTCAAATTATTTCAATGGGATTTAATTTGCAGTGATAAGGGGGCAGCCTTAAAACGGTCTTATTTGGTTTTTTAGCCATTTCGTCAATAACATTAACATAGGTTATATTTGTGCTGTCTGACTAGATGATAAGTTCTGCTTTGACCATATTTTGATTGAAACTAATGTCTTTTGATAGGAGTCATTGTTGAATTTCTGCCTTTCTTGTGGACATTGTGAGAATTTTTTCTAGTTTTCTAGTGTGGTATGCAGCATTATCAAGTGCAATGACGGCATAGTCGTCAAGCTTTGGGAGCGTTTCTTCAAACCATCGTTCAAATGAACTGCCGTCCATTATTTCATGGTAGTCGGTAGTTTTCTTTGACTCAAATGCCCCATAGGCCAGTGGGCACAAGAAAGAGCTTTTTATTTTTTTATCTCGCAAACGAAGCGAGATATGGAGGAAACTCAAAAGACAAAAAAGTTGTATTTTCAACTTCTAATTTTGAAAAAAAAATAGAAACATTTAAAAAGTCAGTGGCGCACATAGTTTGTGTGAAAAATATTAAACTGTATCCATCGAAGAAACAAAGTAAAATCAAACATATACACCCGTATTGCACGTGATCAAAAACTTAACCGTAGGAGACGCTACAGGGCCGTATCAAGCTATTGTGACTGATCTATCAAAAAATGTCGTACAAGATATGTGTTGCTGTAAATTCTATCAAAAGCATAGTAAATTATCAGGAATATACCACGCCTTTCTAATCATATTTCGACATTAGGAATCAGTGCAAAAAATTCTGTATTCACCATTTCAGCAAAATGTTACTAAAACGCACACGAAAAAAACTTGTGGACCATCTCAATTGAAAATGTTCATATTTTATTATTAACTTACATATATACCCAATAATATTTACAAATCAACCTTCTATTCACAATGCAGAGCAAATTTTTTTGAGCAAATAGAAACTACAGACGTAGTAGTAGTAGTACAAAAGTTTATTACAGACTCCATAAAGTTTGTTAGTTTGATTGCTATTAAAATTTACATGAGAAATAGGAAGAAGGTCAAAATGGCACTATTATGCTTTGGAACTCCTAAATTAACCCTAATTTTGTGTAATTATAAATTTGGAATTTCCACATTAATAACTAGAAACTTACACTTTGATTGCAGTCTATAATGAACTTACCTGTCTTGCCAAAAAGCCCGCTAAACTGCCAGTCTTAATGGTATCAATCGATTTATATGCTGTATTCCGAGGAGCTTGAATCATCAGAATTGTTGATGTCAATTATAAGGGGTTCAACTTGGGTGTCAATGATATTGTCCATATCCCACATTTTGGTTTCAACCTTCTCTTGGACATGGTCAATACATGTTCTCCATTTTGCTGGCGTAATTCTATCGACAGCAACATCAAACAGTTTTTTTAAGGTCAGAAAACTTAAAAGTGCTGTTATTTGACGCCACATATTGCTTGATGTTGGCCCAAATCAACTCGATAGGATTCAGTTCGCAGTGATAGGGAGGCAGCCTGAGAATCGTTTTATTTTGGTTTTTGGCCATTTCGTCAACAATTTTTAAATCATATTTATACTTATGTCGCTTGACTATATTTATCAGCTCAGCTTTGACCATTGTTTGGTCGAAGTCGATCTTCTTTGAGACAAGCCACTGTTGAATGTCTGCCTTTTTGGTGGCCATTGTTGGAATTTTTTCCAATTTTCTGGAGTGGTACGGGGCATTATCCATCACAATAATTGCGTTATCATCAAGTGTCGGCAACATTTTTTTGAACCAATTTTCAAATGAGTTACCATCCATTTCTTCGTGATAGTCTCCAGTTTTTTTGGATTCAAATGCCCACAATGCTTCAGGAACAAATCCATCTACGCTACCTATGTGGCAAATGATCAGGCGTTTTCCCTTGCCTGAAAGTAATTAGTTATTTTACTTCTCAGCGAGCGCACTAAATGACGAAATTAAGCAACTTACTCTTTTTAGGTTAGTGTAGGATAGGGTGAAGGAAATACTCAGAAACTTGGATGAGATAGCAAAACTGAGTTCGGAGCTTCCAAATCATTGATTCGATCAGAAAATGAATTATCTGCATCCAAAAAAGTTCATATACTTCGAAACTTACCTGCAGGATTTTTCAATCCCGTCGAAAGGCCATCTAAAAAAGCCTGCCTTGAGGACCTCACAGATCTGTCTACCCAAACCTTTCCCTGCGTATGCCCCGCGTTCACCCATGTTTCGTCTAAATAATAAATTTTTCTTCCTTCAGCGCGGAATTGCCTAATTTTTCTATGGTATTCTCTCCTCCAGATAACAATTTCCTCCTTTTCTATCAATAAACTATTCCTTCCTCTTTTCAAAAATCGAAAGACTAGTTCTTTCAACAGCTTATGGAACGTAGATCTTTTAAAATTTGGCAGGTCCTCATCATCATTCACTTGCTTCAATATTTTATCTATTGTAGGTATTTCATTCCTGAAGAAAAAGTGATGTACTTTTCTTCTAATGGCACTTTTGTCAAAGTCATCTATTTTTTCGATGATTTTTTTTTCTCGCTGGATATGTTTTTGGCTCAGATAGTGAGTGATTTTGTCTATATTCCTTCAAGATTTTGTAAACACTCGATCGACCTACTCCAGAAATTTCAGCAACCTTACATACCATATTTTATATAGCCAATCCACTATTCTCTTGCATCTGGTTCTTGTAGATATTTAGAATAATTTGTTTTTTACCTGCGCTAAGATGAAGCTTTTTAGCCCTTTTTCTGGGTGGCGTTAAGCTGATTTCAACCACTTCATCAGCTGTATCTGTGTTAGACATTTTAGACTAATATTAAATTTCCGCAAGAAAAATCAAGTCAAGACGTGCATAAAACGTTCGCGCTCATAAACTGATTACAATCCTGTGCGTGGTGACGAACCATCAACGTGACGCTGAGAGTTCCCTCTACTATGCAGCGTTGCCAGGCTTAATGTCACAATGATCATGTTTTATTGGGAAAATTGTCAGAAATCGCCGAATGTTGAACAGAAACATTACAAGAAGTCTAACCTTGAAATGTGAGGCTACAAATCGATATTCTTATAGGGGGGAAGGGTAGGGAGCTGTTATGGTTCCTATTAACCTTGGTGAAAGTTGGAGACGGTAATATCATATATGGCATACATTCGGTTGAAGGTGTGTGCACGGAAAATAGATTGCGGATAGGATTTTAATAGATAAATCTGCACAAAAAAACACAAAAGGAGATTTTTGTATTTCCCTGAAGAATATCTCAAGGTTATTTCAGATGTACTCATCGAAACTTTATGGAAGGATTATCGAAACCTTATTTTCAATTGCGATAGGGCCACATACCTCGACATCGCATTAATGTGAAAAATAAGACAATAGAAAAAAATTCCCTCACTGATGCTATCTCTTAGGAAAAATTTAACTATAAAGATTGCACAAAAATTTTCTTCACCTTTTTGAGCTTGTTTTCGCATCTCCGTATATGCCGTTCATAATTTGCTGCAGATCAAATTGGAATATACCTTTGTGATGCCATTTATTGTTATATAATGTCCTTTACAACAGTTATTGCACGTATTGCACCAACAGATTGATTTGTGATCCATGCGAATGTGATCAACCACTCTGGCGAAAACTCGCCGAGCGTGGCAACCGTGCGACTTTGTCTGGAGGCTCGTCGCTACAAGCCAATCAGGAAGAGGCCGACAGAGCGCCATGGCTACCGATCACGCGTTGATCACGAATCAACCACTGTTTACGATTACTTTGTAGCTTCGTTAGATACACTTTAGACGCTGTAGACCGGCTAGCAATTAACTAGGCAGACAGATCGATGAAGATGAGTGACATGGTTTGTCGTGATCTTGTTTTTGAAATTTCTCTTGCTTACTGTACGGATACTTCCCCGCCCGTAGGCGTGGGATGTGAAACACATAAAGAAAAACAGTTTGACTTGTACTTAACATTTTGTAATCGGAACCTAATAAGATCACTTGTTTTAGTGTCGATAACGATTATCAAATGAAAAATTTGCAAGGAGGTCAGGGGCGGATCATGGGGATCACCATTAGTACTCTTATTCTTTCGGTTTCTCAAATATAGGTGCCCGCTGTATGTCGACATGCTGGCATTGCAACAACGTGAACTTACTGCGGCAGCTGATGAAGCGAAGAAGCAAGTTGGTCCCAACAGGTTGAAGTCTGATCCGTCAATTGATCTTGACAAATACTTTGAACATAAACGACAGACTACCGCGCAACCAAGATGGATGCAGGTAATAGTTCATTGCACAAATTTCAATTTTAGTATATCAAGTATCGAATAATAGCGTATCATAATATAAACTGGTAGACAGTAATTGCTTTGCAACATGGAAAATTTTACCCAAATTCAAAACGTGATATTTTCGGCAGGTTCTTGACCAACTCTTTGAGAACATATACAAGGTTCGACCGATATATTTCTTTTATTTATCCACCTATACAGGGTGAGCAAAGAAATTCAGGTTTTTTAACAAATTTTTTTTTTTATTTACATAAGCTGCATCAGCTAATTAGCTATTAGCAGCGGATTTAATGTGTACATGAATCAAATTTTATGTATTAAATTACAATGGCTCAAGAACAACATTAGATTTCGGATATTGCAGGTGGCTCCAATTATGTCTTTTAGAGTTTTACCACAGAGATTAAACTGATGTCTTTGTTGTTCGAACATTGGGCACTCCACTAGAATGTGTTTTACCGATAAAACGCTTTCGCACATAAAACACATTGGTTCAGGGTCACGGGTGATGAGGTAGCTGTGGGTGATTCTTGTGTGGCCCAGTCGGAGGCGGGTTATTATCACTTGCAGTCTCCTTTTTTCTGTTACTGTTTGCAATTCATTGAGCTTGGTTTCACTTCTTGTAGCTTGGAAGGCTTGTTCTTCCACACACTATTCCACTGGTCTATTGTTTTGCGTTTTACATATACCTTCATATCTGATGCTGGAACTGGGAGGTTGCAGATGCTGTTGTTCGTTGCCGCTCTTTTAGCGTTTGTATCTGCTGTTTCATTCCCTGCTATTCCTTTGTGAGATGGAGCCCACATAAGTACTATAATCTGGTTATTGTTGGTGAGTTGAGTAATTGTTTCTTGTATTATCTTGGCTATCGGATTTTTTGTATATAACTTATTGATGGAGTATATTGCGCTAAGTTAGTCTGTAATGAGTATCCATTTTTGGTCAACGGTGCTTTCTATATATTTTAATGCTTCCAGAATCGCGTAAAGCTCTCCTGTGAGAGTAGTGGCTGAGTCCGGAATCTTCAAGGTCTTGATGGTTGTTGGTTTAACTATTGCTGCTCCGCAGTTTGATCCTTGTTTCGATGCGTCGGTAAATATTAGCTTGTGGTCAAGATATTTACCAACAATTTCGTAGAAATTTCTCTGTATTATTTCGTTAGAGGTGCTATGCTTGTCTAGTTCTGTTAGCTGGCTATTTACACGAGGAAGCTGAACAGCCCAAGGTGGTGCGTTTGAGACTTTGACTGGATATAATTGAGGCATTTGGCTTATATTCAACTGTATTAGGTGAGGGCTAACTCTTCTGTGTAGTGGTGGAATGTGCAATGGATTTCTGTCGTATTCTATGAGGGTGCGTAGGTTTTTAGAAGTGGAAGCATCTGGGTTTGATGCTGTGTTAATGATATATGATGAACTGAGAATGTCTCGTCGCAGTTGCAGTGGGGGTTCTCCTGCTTCGCAGTATAAGCTTTCCAGCGGTGTTGTTCGATAGGCTCCTAGTATGATACGTAAAACTGTATTATGTACCACATCCAGATGCTTTAATATGGTTTTTTTGGCAGATGCATACACGATACACCCGTAGTCTATTTTTGATCGTATTAGCAGTCTGTAAATGGTTAAAAGTGTTTTGCTTTCTGCTCCCCAGTGCTTATGTGCTAGACATTTTAACACATTAATTCTCCTTTGGCAAGACTGAATAAGCTGAGTGATATGTTTTCTCCATGTTAGACGTCTGTCAAATGTTACTCCTAGAAACCTGTTTTCGTCCGTGTACTCTAGCGATGTGTCATGTATTTGTGGATTATTCTGTTCACATTTTTTGCTGAAGATGATGCATTTTGTTTTGCTTGGAGAAAACGAAAAGCCTGTCTGATTGGACCAGTGTTCTAATTTCGATAACTGCGCTTTTAAGAGTTGGGCACTGGTTTCAATATTTTTGCCTCTTACGTAAATTATCATGTCGTCTGCGTAGAGTCTGGCTTGGACAGGTTTCTCCATATTATCCAAGATGTCATTGATTGTAATTAGAAAAAGTGTCGGACTGATAATTGATCCCTGTGGTACACCGTTCTCTTGTGTTTTCAATTTGGACAGTGATCCATTCACTCGAACCTGGAAGTTTCTTTCACCCAAAAAGTTGGCAATGAAAGCTAATATATGTCCATTGTAGCCGCAGTCTTTAAGCTTCTCGATTATTTTATATCTCCACGCCGTGTCGAAGGTTTTATTAATGTCAAAGTAAATGGCAAAACAGTGTTGCTGGTTTTCAAATGCCTCCTGAATATAATTGTTCAAATCGACTATATTATCCATAGTCGATCTGTTCGGCCTGAAACCTGCTTGTTCCTGTATCAGTACGTGTTTTTGTTCTAGGCTCCAGACCAGGCGCTTGTTTATAATTTTCTCAAGCAATTTACATGGTACACATGTTAAGGAAATTAGTCTGTATGACTCTGGATCTAGCTGTTGTTAACCTGGCTTAACTATGGGAATGGCAATTGCTTGATTCCAGCTATTCGGAAACTCATGTTTTGACCATATTATATTGTAAATGTCCAATAAACATTTCCTACCGGATAGAGGCAGGTTCTTGAGGAAGACGGTTGGAATATCGTCTGGCACTGGTGATATGTTTTTCATATCTTGAATGGCATCGAGCAGTTCGTTAATGGTTAGGGGAGTGTTGATGGTGTCTTTATTATTCTCAACTGTTATTGGAATTGTTTCGTGTTGTGTTTTGTGAGCTATGAACTCTTGAGAGTAGTTATCATTGCTGGAGTGCTTATAGTATGTTTTCGATAGTATTTCAGCAATTTCATCGCTGTTAGTGTGAATTATCGATTCATCTTTTATTGCTTTAATTTTTTGAAAACTATTTGCGCCAGAGATATTTTTATCTTTTTCCAAATTGTTGATATTGGTGTTCTTGTATTCATTCCTTCAACAAAACTTTGCCACGACTTTTTCTGATTTCTGTTTGTTGTAAGTCTTGCTCTGGCCTGCTTCTGTCTTAAGTCACGTAGGTTTTCAGTCGTTTTGTGTCTTTTGTACTTATTTAGAGCTGATTTACTTTCTTTGAGTGCTGTCTCGCATTCTTGGTTCCACCAAGGAACTGGATTTTTCTTTTTGACGGTTTTTGTTTTCCCAATGTGTTGTTGTGCTGCTTTGGTGATTAAGGTATTAAACTTTTTTATTATTATGTTTATATTTTCGGTTAAATCGATGTTGTTAATATTGTTGTCTATATATTGCGAGTAATCAGTCCAGTTGGCCTCTTTTAATCTCCATTTATTTGGTGGTATCGTATCATTTCTATCATTTCTTGAATCTGAGATGACAATAGGAAAATGATCGCTATTATATAAGTCATCAGCAGTGGTCCAATTCAGATGCGTCAGAAGGCTCGGCGAGCATGCGCTTAAGTCGATGGTAGAAAATCTCCCTGAAGCAGCATCAAACCTTGTGCTGCTTCCATCGTTAAGTAAGGCTAGGTTGTTCGTCTCAAGTGCTTCCTTGAATAATTCTTCCCTAGGATCATTTTTAAAAGAGCCCCACGAGATGCTGTGGGCGTTGAAGTCTCCCAATATTATTCTAGGGCTGGGTATTTGTTCTAACAGAGCTTGGAATTCGGCAGGTTCCAAATGGTAGTCTGGTGGGATGTAAATGTTACATATGTTGAGTACATCTTTGAGGTCTATAGATATAGCTATAGCTTCTAGGTTTGTATTCAATGGAATTGGTCGGACAGGTATCTCCCTTTTGACGTATATTGAGACTCCACCGCTTGCTGTGGCTCTTTGCCTGTTTTTGAAAAATCCTGCATAGTTTTTGGGTGAGTGTGATTTTGTGTCGTGGAAATGCGTTTCCTGGAGGCAAACGACATCTGGTGTATAATCAGCTATCAGTTTTTTTAACATGTTTAAATAGACATAGTATCAATTTAAGTTCCATTGCAATATTGACATGATTCTTATTTTAGTAAAAAGATGTGTCTATTGAGGAAGTATCGCTAAGAGAGTCATTGAGATTTTTGTCGATGAGGCGTTCCAGTTTCTTCCGAAGTCTGGTGCAGCGGTTTTTTAGCGTTCTGTCATCTATATGAGAATATATTAGTAGTAACATTTCTGTAAGTCCCTTGATATCATCTGTAGAGTCGTTTATGATATTTGTTATGTCTTGTACCCCATGTGTGTTTTCCAGTAAACTCTTGAGCTGGTCACAATTTAACGCAAGTGGTGGGGTATGGCTGTCTATAAATGCTTTAACTGGAGATAAAGCATCGTCTTGGATGATCGACGGTCCAGTTTCCGACTTATGCTTTTTGATGTTAATGTTTCTTGGAGTAGTGAACGTAGGACTGTTGGGTGTATTTGCTGCTGGAGGTGTTAAATATTTGAAATGGGTCTTTTGTTGGGTGCTTTATCTATTATATTTGTCTGGCTGCTACTGAATGTTACGCTTTGTGGTTCATGTGAGGTGTTGGATGTCTGTACTGGTATTTCCTTGTTGCTTGGTTGAGATGAAGGGAGAAAAACTGTTGTTTTGCTATGATTCTGTTCTATCCTTTGAGTGGTTTCGGTGGCTGGGATTTCTGGCTGACCATATTGTGTTATTTGTCAGTGGTGTGTTGTTTACAGAAGGACAGTGTGAAGCAATATGACCAGAAAGTTTACATTTAAAACATTTCTGACTGTCTAGCGATAAGAAGATGCGATATGATAGACTATCGTGAGTGATTTCGATGGACTCAGGTATTTGGTTAGATTCTAGAGGTGTAATATATACCTGCCTCCTGAAGCTTAATATGTGATTGTATTCTGGTACTGTTGCTCCGATTCTCAAAAATGTTATGGAAGATAGTAATTTCAAGCCTAGGTCTTGTAGTTTTTCCTTTAAAACTGCGTGTGGTATTGTTGGGCAGACGTTCGATAGCACTAACCTGTCCGATGGTGAAATTAATTTACGGGCCTTAATTTTTTCTCCTTGTATTAAAATTTCCCCAGGGTTCTCTACGAATTTATTTACTAATTCCTTGCTGGAGAGGTATATGCAAATTCTGTTATTGGAGATTCTAGAGCAAAACAATGTTCTTCGGGTCAATCATTGGTCCTAATTGGAGCAAGTAATCTTGTATTCTTGCTCCATCTATGGAATTGAAAACTATAGCTTGTTCTTTAGTTGGATGTTTATATGTAGTTAGAATTGTGGAATAGTGTGTGGGTTGGTTAATCGGTGTTGATGTCATTGTTGCTAAGGTTTTATATCAGTATGGGAAAATATCATTTCTGAATACGGACCTGTTCTTTCGAGGTCCAAATTCTGGACGCGTTTTTCCCGAACGCTTGAGATTGGAATGTTGACTATTTGATCCACTGATTTACTATGTCTTCGGTATATAGCACAATATTTTCTACTCACAATGCGTCCTGGTTCGTGATTTGCACTATATGGTAGCAAGTCGAAAATTGTTTGTGTTATGGTTCACTTTTAATACGGTAAATTCACGAGCTCACTATCAGATAGACTCTTAACAAAGTTTGGGGCTATGTTAGATTCCCATTTTTTGCTGTAGGAAATTGTTCTATGCATCTTTTTGTTTTAGACTATTTTGAAAAAGTGATCAAATTTTTCGAATGTTGGCTATAATTCAAATTATCGAATTTTGAAAAACTGTTACATATATCCCTAAAAAAGGGACTTTTTGGGGTTTCTCTTGAAAACTGATATTTTTTCTCACAAGTGGAATTTCTTGCGCCCGAGAACGTTATTGACTCCAGTGACGTGCAGTAAAAGTTTGCTACTTTGACATTATGTAATTTAAACCGAATTTGTAAATTTTACTATGCAATTGAACGGCGTAATGAACAAATCCAAGTTACTACTCTTAATATAGGGGTGTATTCCAGTGGCCTAATACCAAAATAGTTTTTTGTTTTGGTGAGATGTGCTAGTAACGTGAAAACTCTTATTTTTCAAAATGCTATGATGCTGGCCAACACTGCTATTCATATTTTATCTGGAATTTTTGTCTTTCTCATCCAGCAACGGTTGGAGATGTTTTCCAATGGATTATAGACAACATTAAAGAATTTAGTGACTAACATTAACAATTTGAAGACCAGCTAAATACCTAAATCATTTATCTATGACAAAAACGAACATTTACTTACGTTTAATTAAAACTGAAATCAAAATTGAATTGAAATTATACCAGGAATGATATTGGAGGTGATAACTTGAGTTATGTAAACAAAATAAAAGATTTCTATTTTAGTCTGCCATAGAGCTGTAATACTCATACTTTAATGCCTTTTTCAGGACGGTCAAGCTAATGTTAAATAAATCTATATTACAGAAATTCTTATGATTTTTTTGAGCCCTGACCAAAGGGGAATTAAGCCCAAGATTAGTTCTACGGAACGGTATTCTAAGCAGATCATAGGTTCTAAACGTTCTATCAGTTCAGGTTTGCCAAAAGATCCGGACAGTCAGTGAGGCCATTCAACAATTAATGAACACAACAAATGTCAGAAATCGTTCTTCTATCTTTTAAGGAAATCATATTCATAATTTGCGTATAATGATGATCTGTAACAGGTTGGTGAGTTTTATGTGCTAACATCTTCAACAATTTGTGTTGAATTCTTTCTATCCTGGCTATATGTACATTGTAAGACGGATTCCATATTACTGATGCAAACATCAATTTGTTGTGTATATAAGCGTAGTACAGTTTTGGGTTCGTAAATTCTCTGCATGTCCTGTTTATGAAGCCTAATGTTCTATTTGCATCATTTACGATGTGCTCTACGCGAGTGATGAATGAGAGTTTCTCATCAATGTATACCCGTAGGTCTTTTACTACATGAAGCTTTTCCAGTTCTGCCGTCCCTATCTTATATCTGAAATCTATAGTGTCCGCTATGTTTCTAGTAAGCCTCATGTAATAACAATTTGTTAAATTCAGGAAGATACTGTTTTCAGTGCAATACTTATGCAGAGATTCCAAATAGCCTTCAAGTTTTACACCGTCATTTACATTTCTAACAATAGTAAATATCTTTAGATCATCAGCATATAACAAATTGTATTTACTGAAATGAAAAACAGAAGTAAGGTTGTTCATGTATATGTTAAATAACAATGGTCCTAAGTGACTACCTTGTGGTACGTCTGAAGTTACTAAGAATGTACACCTATAAAACGCCAATATGGCGTCTTTAAGAAAAAATAAAATTGATGCTGGAAGACAAGAGATGCAACAACATTTTCAAATTCTAATTATGCCATCTTGTAGAGAAGAAAAAGTGGCAATTTAATTGTGCAATTAATTTTGAAATCCCACTACAAATAAAGTCTGGTAAAAATTAAAATGATTTTGAGAAAATACAGTTTTCACCGTCTCTCTCCGGAAGTACATTGACTTTAGAAACTTTCTAAGTGGCATTTCGTTGAATATTAAAATACGCAACTTTGTGTCCATTTAAGTAACTTTGTGTATCAATTTTCCGAGATCCCAATGCTAAGGGTCGAACTTGGAGCGCTCTGTATAAGAATTATAACTCAAATCCTAGGTATTAAATTTTCAACACATTTTCGTATGGAGGTATTTATTGAATTATCATTATAATCGGTAACAGTTTGTTTTTCTAAATTTAACTACTTTAGCCATTGTATATTTTCCACAGGTACTGCAAGCAGTAAATCATCCCATAGAGCCCCAAAGAGAACCAAATGAGATTCTCAATGTACAGGTACAGTTTCACAGTCAACTACATCAAAACTAATGACGTGGAGTAGGTCAACTCGGTATTATCAGTATATTAATAGGAAACACTTGGTGGTGCATAAGAAGTGATAAGAAGTAATTATGTTATTAATAATGATGCTACTATACGGTGCTCCGAAACTATATTAGGCAAATTGCGACAACGGTGTTTCAAAGTTTATGTGTTCTACGTGCTTTGTTTTGTTCAAATAGCAGACCTTGGTCAATTAATTCCTTCATTCTTCGGTCCGATCAAAAGAGCTTCCTTATCAACACACATTTCAGCAACTGTAGAACCGATTTTGATGAACATTGTAAATCGGAGAACCTGACTCATGTTTCTCTGGCTTGAGCCGAACATAATGCTTTATGACCTAACGATAACGTTAAGTGGAAAGTTCAGAGTCAACCTACTTGACGCCATTCTTTGAGGAACGTTGTACTAATTTTTACTGACTTTTATCCACTAATTATTGCAGGAACCAATACCACCTCCAAATCCAAGAGAACCCGAGGTACCAAGACAACGACGAATGATGTTACCTGCTCAACAACAGCGGGATGAGCCTAGGGTTGCTCGCGAATACTTGGAGGTACTACCAGTTCTAAACATGAGAATACCTCGCCCGGCAAGGCCACCTCCAAATCCAAGAGAACCCGAGGTACCAAGACAACGACGAGTGATGTTACCTGCTCAACAACAGCGGGACGAGCCTAGGGTTGCTCGAGAAAACTTGGAGGCACCACCAGTTCCAAACATGAGAATACCTCGCCGGGCAAGGCCACCTCCAAATCCAAGAGAACCCGAGGTACCAAGACAACCATGAATGATGTTACCTGCTCAACAACAGCGGGACGAGCCTAGGGTTGCTCGAGAAAACTTGGAGGCACCACCAGTTCCAAACATGAGAATACCTCGCCGGGCAACGCGACATACAAATCAAGATCAACCACAAGCGCCATGACGTGTTCGTCAATACCAGGGGGCACAGATACCTGTTCGACGAGGGGGATCAACTGCTGAGGTATGGTAATGACTTAAATCTACGATTTCCAATGAATGAACCATTCATGACTTCCTAAAAGCTAACTACGAGCCCCTTCCCACTTCAGTTGGCCCAACTACTGAAATCTTAGTTTTTTTCTTATCAAACACAAATAATAAAAATGTAGCAGGGTGTTATAGGTTTAAAATATTAGCAATGGATATTTTGATAATGTATAGTAGAAAACACTCCCTAGTCAAATTTGCAGCATAGAAATAACACATGTTGCAATTACATCATATCAACCTATTTTCATTTCAATGCAAAATAAGTCTATAACGCATAGGTGGCAGTGAAAAATAAAAACCATGACAATTGTTTTTATTAATGACAGCTGTCAGAATACGTTTAAAATAGTTTTGGGTAGTTTTCAAAATGGGTAGAGGAAAGGTTATTAGTGAGAAAATTCGGTTACTGATAACTAAATTTTTTAATTCTGGGAAATCAAACTCAGAAATTGCAACTTTGTTAGACTTATCGCGGTACAGTGTGAGAAATATTGTTAGAAGATATAACGTAACTGGTTCAGTAAATATTAAGCCACGATATGTGAAAAAAAAGTAATATCACAAATGCCGACCGAAGAGCATTAAGAAGAATAATCGTGAAAAGCAGGCGTGCCAATTATTTACAATTAAGTGCTCTGTAGAGTGGCGATGTTGGAAGGAAAATTTCGAGGTCCACAACTCATAGAGAGCCCCACAAACTGGCATTTAGCACTTACAAGGTAAGTTGCACAACTTGTTTATAGGCCAAAGAAAAGCCACTATTAACTCCACTGCAAAAGAAAAATCGGCTTAGATGGGCTAAAGAACATAGACAATGGACACCTCAACAATGGTGTGCAATACATTGGAGTGAAGAGGCCCGATTCGAAGTTGTTGGTGACAGTCGCAGTAGAGTTATTCGCAAAAAAATGAAGCATTCCATGTTGACTGTCTGAAGAGAAAAATAAAATTTCCAGCATCCATTATGGTCTGGGGCAGTATGTCATCAAAAGGAGTAGGAAAACTTCATTTTATTGATGGAAATGTGGACACAAACAAATATTTGGCAATTTTAGAAGAATCGCTTTTACCATTTTGTGTTTCAGCAAGATGGTGCAGCGTGCAATACCTCAAAAAAGGCTGTAAAATGGATGGAAGAAAATAATGTATCACTTTTGAAATGGGTTTCTAGCAGTCCAGATCTGTCACCTATTGAAACTTTGTGGCACGAGATGAAAAAGGTTCTACGACAACATCCTGCTCGTTCAATCACCGAACTGAGACAAAAGCTTCAAGAAATATGGGATTGTTTCACACCAAATTTTTGCCAAAACTTGGTTAACACTATGCCCCAAAGAATTATCAGCCGTAATAAAAAATAAAGGTGATGTTACCCAATGGTAATCATGCAATTGTTGCTTTGTTAACTTCGCGCATTTATTCGCACATTGTTTATTTGTTCAGATGTTCTATTAGTTATAGGTCTAAGTGATTTCAGATATGTATTTTTTACGACTAGAGTGTATCTAGAATGTTTTTGAGAAAATAAATTGTTTTAGAAGTAAATAGTTTCGTCCTGTGTCGTTTATAAAGGCATATTTTGGTACAAATCTTGAAGTGGGCCAACTGAAGTGGGAAGGGGCTCGTATATGGACATTTGATATGCTGTCGCATATCAGTTGGGTTGAAATGATTCTGCATTGTTCAGATGTCAGTGAACTGGTTGAAATTTTTACGGTTAAGCTCAAAGATGTAGTTGAAACAAGTGTAGCTAAATTTAAAATCAAGCGTAACTATCCCAATTCGAATTGTATAATAACTTAGGAGCTTACGCTGAATTGAGGAGAAAATCAGTTGATATCCAAAGACTTTCAAAGTTACGTAACAAATGTAGAAAGGGAAACTCAAGTTGATTCAAAGAAATTTTGGAAGTTTCTGGCAAATAAAAAAAATCTACTAATCATCCTGCGGGAAATAACATACAATCACAAAATTGCTACAAATAGTGTTTCCGAAGGCATACCCAAAGGTTTAAAAACAATCCGTGAAAAGCAAAAACAAATATCTCGAAAACTTTGGACACTTCTAACAAGTAACCCTTTTTTGTTATGGAAAAACGAGAAAATCATTTTTTTTTCACTCAGTTGTTGTATATAGGGCAGCACAAAAAAGTTATAAGTTATTCACCAAAATAGTGCTGTAACTTTCACCCTCTAGAAGTTTTGCCATAAAAAATAACGGATTCTTGTTTCTCATACTAGAAATCCCCTATATTTTTATGCCAAAATCTGAAATACTTCTCAAGCAATAAGAAAAAATAGAAAATAAAATTGTAACTTTGACGCCCTGTATCTCGCAAACTATCAATTTTTGGACTACTGTATATTTAGGTCAATTCGCATATTTTGATCAGTAGTATCTTCAGTTTCAAGATTTCCCAACCTTTCGCAGACATCTTTGACTCGCAGCATTGCGAGTTCTGCGACTTAGGTTGGTACGTTTAATTGTGGCATTTTGAAGAATCACAATTTTAATACGAGTATAAGGCGTGATTCGGGTGAACTGCTTCCACAGTCGTTAATCATTTTTGAACAATGCTTGTCAAACCTCACCGAACAAACTGAAACCTGGATAAAAGCTCTAATCGAATGGACTGTGCACTCTTAGTTAAATAAAAAAATAATTTAATCATCGATAAAGGCTGTTAAACGATAATATAAATTTGCGGCGTCCGAGATGTCAACTTCAAAATGATAAAGTGTAAATTAAGCAAAAGAAACGAATTTTCATCCGCCATCTTTATTCAAGATAACAATTAGAAATCACGCAGTTTCTTTTGAAGAGGCCATCACAAACTACGGATGGTACAAAAATGAAAGTCCAAAAACGAACGCACCGTGTTTTCGTAAGCAATTTTCTCTCACATAGCTTTCTATAGCTGTTGGAATAAAGATGGCGGAGCGGAGAGCCTGTCTCTTTTTTTGTACTTGAGATATTTCTTCTGCTGTGCGTGCTCCATGCTCAAGCTAAAAGTCAAGCGCGCTTAACTCAAATAATCATCAAGTTTTCAATGATTTCCCAATTTTTTGCGCAATTTTCTTGATTTTTCTTTTCGTAAGAACTTTCTATGCAGTATAAGGTAAAAAAAAATGAATGGAATCGGTAAGGTCCTTCTCAAGTTATGGCGTGACCATGGGAAATAAGGAATCAATTATATATATATATATACATACAGGGTGGCCCATCCAGAAGTGGAAGGAATATTACTCATAAACAAATACATTTTGAGAAAATCTATTAATGGCATGTTATACATGACATTTGAGGGCACATTGCTAAAATATTGGCAGGGTATTCCAATTTTGACCTACATATCAAAGTTGTGATTTCTTGAATGGAATGCCTCAAATTCTATTGCTTATTTGGATAAACCAATTCAAGAGAAGAAGATTGACATAACATACTATGGGGTTTTGGTAATTAGCTACTGAGATGTAAGGTGTTTTGTCCAGAAAAACCGGCAACCTCTCAATCCGCCATTTTGAAATTTGGAGTGCCGAATTTTGTATCAAAAAAAAACTTACACACCTCAGCTTTTATCCTAGTTGGGGGGTATTTCTACACAAAGCACCTTATATCACAGTAGCTAATTACCAAAACCTCAAAGTATGGTATATCAATTTTCTTCTTTTGAATTGGTTTATCCAAATGTGCAATAAAATTTGAGGCATTCCATTTGAAAAATCACAACTTTGATATGTAGGTCGAAATTGCGACACCCTGTATAATGGACAATATTTTAGAAATGTGCTCTCAAATGTCATGTATAACATCCCATAAATGTATTTTCCCAAAATGTATTTGTTTATGAGTAATATTCCGACCACACATGGATGAGCCACCCTGTATATATATATATAACAAAAAGAAGGAAAATAATGGGCAAAATCCGCAAAAAGGAGGAAAGTGGATTCAAGCAGAAAATAGGATAGGTAACCCGAGCGATACGTATTTCTGCTGGTTGGCTTCATCAGGCCCGAAATGAATGCACATATGCAACTACAAAAGTAGATACGCATGCTCATACATCCGGATACGGGTGTAACCTGAGGAAACAAAGATGGAGAGGGAGAAAAAAATCACACACGAAGTCCACAACAAGAGCCAACCTACACATTGTAGTACAAAATGGTTAGAAGACCTAGAATTTTCAAGGCGACATCTAACCACAACCACGCGGCCGGTTATATCGTGTGTGATTTTTTTCTCCCTCTCCATCTTTGTTTCCTCAGGTTACACCCGTACCCGGATGTATGAGCATGCGTATCTACTTTTGTAGTTGCATATGTGCATTCATTTCGGGCCTGATGAAGCCAACCAGCAGAAATACGTATCGCTCGGGTTACCTATCCTATTTTCTGCTTGAATCCACTTTCCTCCTTTTTGCGGATTTTGGCCATTATTTTCCTTCTTTTTGTTATATACCTTTCTCCGCATGATCATTTTCTCTATATATATATATATATATATATATATATATAAAATAGATAGACCTGTTAAGTCCATGACAAAAAAAGGAAAATCATAACGAATTTTAATGTTCCTAAACATGAGTGCTCATTAATGAGGGCATATGCCCCCTTGGCAGTTTGAGAAGTGAACATTCTTCATAGCGCACCCGTTTTTTTGGTAATGAGTGGCGAGAGTTCTTTTATTCCACAAAACAGCCCTTCACAGATATCATTTGTTCTCCCACCATTTTAGTTACTTAGAGCAATTATAAAATTTATTACGGGTAATGAAAATTTTTAAGAACAACTGTTTAATTGTTATTTGACCAGTTTTTCTCAGAGAGCCAGTACAATAGGTAGTATACCTCTTCAAAGTCTGCTTGATGTAGGATAGTCATAGCAATGCAAGAGTTCCTGGGAGCATATAGCTACAAAATAATTTGGCATATAAGCATTATATTCTATTGAGTGATTCATTCCGATGATGTAAGATCTTCTCTTTCTTCACAGAAGTCGACTAAGACTAAGAACTGAAGAAGAATACTGACTGGAGTTTGCCTGCTTTCCAGTTTCCTGTTTTATCTACGTGTCAGTGATTTTAATTCTTAACAAAGCCTTACATTATTTCTAATTAAGTAATGATGTAATTTTATTATAATATTTAAATATGCAATATTTTAGCTTATTTTCTTTGGTTAGTACTACTTTTATATGCTGTATTCTATTGTCGTACTTCAAAGTTTCGTATTAACGTCACTTTTTAAAGTCTATGTGTGATTTTTTTGTACTATTTGATCGAATACATTATTTACATTTAAATTATACGCTTTATTTATATAATCCTCAAACTGACTCCTGCGACAATTTTCAAAATATCTTTTCTAATTCTATTATTCTGTGCGTTCAGGAAACATTGACAGGTGATAACTTCTTTCCACACTGAAGCGACTCCTGGATTTTTGAAGGATTCGATGGGTCTATGTTATATCATTTGGAAGGTATAAGACATTATACGGTTTTTGGCGGTAACCTCATCAATGTCATACAAAATTAGTAAACAGACTAAGGCGAAGAGAGAGAATAAAGGACCGCTGCTTTTATTCACTTTCTGAAAATATTCCAACATACTTAGCGAATACTTAATGAATACTCTTACGTTGCCGCTAAAAGTTTCGCGGTCCCGAATAGAAACTGTGGGCTTACACAGCAAACGTTCGTACACATCGGTAGATATCATGATAGCATGTGTATGAGTGAGGCAGATGGTAGTATAATGCTGGTAGTTGTACAATGTGCACTAAAAATTGTGAACAGAACTATGCTCACAGTCTCACGAAAAAAGATCGGTTTTTCTCTAGTTGTTTTCACGCCTACAGGGATAAATTTATTGTTAAATCAATTAGAATAAAATTCAGACAACTGATAATAAATCTAGTAGCAAAAGGAATGAGAACATATCCATCAAAGGTACACAACCTTAACACTGGCGTACGATGCTATACGCTGCTCTCTTCCATTTTGGTACAAGATTATACATAACGATTCGAGCGTTTAATACCCCAAAGATTACACAACCGGCGCTGCTCATTGGGAATTGATCTCCTATAAATCACAAAGGTGAGCTAGTTTATAGCGAAAATCTTTGTCTTTGGCACTATGTACTGGTCACCGACTCTGGGCCCATTCTTGTCTCAAGCTGTCTGTTGAGTTCTAGTATTTACAAGGTGGACATAGTTAAATGTAGTATTTATTGAATCTGTAATATCACATTTCTCGGCACTATCGATCCCGGTAAAATTTTGAAAAATAACAAAGTTACCTAGGAGTAACTTAGTACTAGTCCAATGATTAAAGAATCCAGGAATGGATTCGACTTTTCTAATGTTTTCATATTTTAGCAAAATCAACAACTCTGATATTGATATGTCTGACCAATTATCTTGTTTTTATCACTTTGTGTGACAAAACTCAAAATTTCAAACGTTACTATCTTGATTTTATCAACATTTCACAATATAATGCTTCGAATTTATCTAAAAATGTCTTGGGAACTCAAAATTTTAGAGCCGAATTCTGTTTCTGTTACATTAAATGCATCGTCCTGTAAGTAATATTCTGGACTTTATGTTGTTTAGCAGAGAAAACAGAAACAAATGATATAAATATGTGTGCATTATTTAACTAAATCTAATGTAGGATAGTGGTGAGAGCATGTAAACGCAATTATGCTGAGAATGTCCGAACCTGTATATTAGTTTCTATAAATTTTCGTCATAATTTTGAATTGGCATGGAGAGTCAAATTCATACTAAATATCGTTTCCATTTGGAGCAAAACTCATACTGTACGACATCAGTTGGCAGAATTAAATCATTAAAAAATTACTGAAAAAATAAATAGGTTGCATAGCATTAATTTTGTCTTTCACATGTTGCAAATATTGTTTTTTTCTTGCGAAATATAATAATAGATCTAGAGGGCTTAATAAAATATATTCAGTGACATTAGAAGTGTTACACCCATAAAAATAATTTCTTCAACATGATTTTTTTGCCAAGAAGGTAGTCTTATATCAAGAATGAAACAATAACATTCTCACAAAATTTTATTGACAAGTAATAAGACACAAAAACAATAACATGTTGGGCGACCCCGCAGCTGAATGCACCACTTACTGTATACGTCTTAGGCATCCACAAAATGAGATGATCGATGTCTGGTTGTGGCACGTCATTCCAAGCAACTCATGTCCCACACATGTTTGATGGGATTTAAATCCGGTGATCGGAGTGGCCACGGCAAAACATTAACGCCTACTTCTGGAAGAAAGTCCGTTTTACGACGAGCAATATGGGGACGTGCGTTGTCTTGCTGAAAAAGGACGTGTGGACGGTCCTGTAGATACCGCAGTAAATTGGATTGTAGGACATCATCAACATAACGCGCAGCAGTCATATTGCCTTGAACAAAGAGAAGAGGTAATCGGCTTTCATGGGCAATTGCCTCCCAAACCATTATTCCAACAGCCCTGTGTACATGCATTTCAATAGCAAATCTAATATCCCGTCGTTCTTCACGGCGGCGTCTTACCCTTCTAAGACCATCGTACGTACCTAGACAGAATCGCGATTCGTCCCTGAAGATGACATTGTGCCATTCTGACTCCCAATGTTGCCTTTCTCTGCTTCAGTTCAATCGTTGACGCCAGTGGCCCGCATTCAGAGAAAGCACTAACCGTAGACGGTATGAAAAAAGCCCAAAGGCTCGAATGCGGAAGTAGACTGTACGCATAATAACAGGTCCAGCTTCTTCTCCAAACCATTGGTCAGCGATCTGAAGCGTAGTAGCAAAGCGGTATCGTAGCGCTAGTTGTCTGAAACGCCTATCTTGCCGCTCTGTGGTACGCCTCGGTGGACCAGTTGGCCTTCTTCGCGTTCCTCTACCTTCTTCTATCCACACACGACGCACACGCATTACCGTCAGTGCAGTACAATTAACACGGCGGCCAATTTCGTGATAGGACAAACCAAACATCTCGATAAGCAATAATTCTACCCCTGTAAAAGTCGCTAATATGGTGATAATTTGGACGGCTTTGAACTCGAGGCATTTTGTTATGCTTAACATTAGTAAACGAAAGGGCAATAACTAAAAATATCTGTACTATTCAGCTCTCAGGAACTGGTTTCAGCTATCTTTCGTAATCACATTCGAGAATATGCCCCTGGTTCCGGAATTTTTGAACAACCTATATTTCTACTATCATCCGAAATAACCAAAACTAGAAAAACTTCAAATGACAAATTTTCGCATTTTTTAGATGTTTACCCCATGAACTTTAATACTACGTCAAAAAATAATCAGCGCTCCGGAAACATTCAAAATATTAAGTTTTTTGACATTCTAAGATATCTTGTTCAAGAAGTAGAAAAATGTCAAATAACAAATTTTTGCATTTTTTAAGTGTTGACCCCATGAACTTTAATACTACGTAGAAAAATAATCAGCACTCCGGAAACATTCAAAATATTAAGTTTGTAGACATACTCAGATTTTCACTTGTTCCTATACCTTTATTGGTAAAAGCATTCAAGGTGTTCTATCATTCACATATCAGTACTTTTGTATCAGAATTGTATTAAGAATGGAGCAGTAATTTCCGAACTGTAAGAATAGAGGACATCGTAGCTTCTTCGCTGAAGTTATTTTTAAGGCTCTTGTTTGGACTCAGTCATTCACATACAGACACTGTTTGATTCATAATCTAATCGAGCACCTGAACGATGATCATTGCACATTCCAACCATGCTAACAGCGCTCAAAACACAGTTCGACCCTGTCGCGAACGCATCGAGAGCTCGACTGTATATGTATCTTGAAAAGTGACATGTTTGCTTGTCATTATACAGGGTGTTCCTTAATGATATGCGAATATTTAAGGGTGTGAATCTATATGAAAAATTAATGTTAGTTTTCTCTATAAACTATGGTCCAAAAATGTTTCATATTTCACTGATATTTAGTACGTAGTGAAAGTTAATTAAGCTGCATATTTTTCAATGCATAAATAATTTTTAGCCTTAACAGTGCCGTGCGTACGGGTATTGACGTCGATATTTTTTAAGAAAAAAATGGTACGCCAATGGTTCTTTGCCAAATAAAAATCATTTTTGAATTCCCCGTTCAATTTAAAACAAATGACCTCTCCTGAGTTGCTTTCTTTCGATGCTCTATTTTTGAGTAAAAAATAAAAACCGCTCTATTGTCCGAGAAAATTAATGTAATAATTGAAGAATGCAATTTAGCAATAAATATCTAGTTCATCTGGAATATGTCACTGGATTTTGACATCTGACAAGTCTCTGTTATTCAAATCTGTTCGCTCTAACATCTTTATCATTATTTAGTTTTTATAATCTTGTTAATAATGGTGAATTATTCAAATGCAGAAATGGCGGAAATCCATTAAGTATATGTCCTTGCCGACGGTAATGGTGAGCATGCCAGACGGATTTATCACCAGAGATATCCCGATCGTGCTTTGCCAGATAGTCGAACCTTTTCTAATATTCATCGTCGTTTTGTTGAAACTGGTTCTGTCCAGAAAGGAACATCTGAAGGTAGACCTCTAAGTGTGAGAACACCTGAAATTGAGGAAGCAGTGCTGCACGAAGTCGAAGAACATCCTGAAACGAGTACGAGGAAGGTCGCTAGATACTTAAGTATTTGTCATCAAATTGTTTGGAGAATTTTAGTGGAGTTTTTGTTATATCCTTACCATATTTTAGGAGTACAGGCATTACTTCCCATTGATTTTCCAAGGCGTGACCTTTTGTCAGTAGTATCTTCAAGAAATTACACAAAATCCGCAATGATTCTGTTCACGGACGAAGCTAATTTTTCTCGAAATGCCATTCAGAATTTCCACAGTAATCATTTGTGGGCAAAAGAAACTCCCTATGCCGTAACCGAAACCCATTTCCAACACCAATTTTCGGTTAACGTATGGGCAGGAATTATTGGCAACCACTCTATTGGCTCATTCTTCTTGCCTGGACGACTTGTCGGACAGACTTACCTCAATTTTCTTCAACGACAGTTGCCTTTGCTGTTTGATGATGTTCCGTTAGTAATAAGAAACAATTTGTGGTACATGCATGATGGTGCACCAGCGCATTTCAGTATGGCGGTTCGTAATTATTTACAAAATGTTTATCAAAATCGTTGGATTGGCCGCGGTAGGCCCCAAGAATGGCCACCAAGGTCCGCAGACCTCAACAGACTTGATTTCTTTTTGTGGGGCTATCTTAAGACACTAG